TGCAGTCGAAAGTGTATATAATAGTGCCACATCAGATTTGTGATTTATTAAATTGCTCTAATTTTTAAACTAAAAAAGTTCATAATTTTTAGTGGAGGTAGATAAACTAAAAAAGGTCTGGTCTAGCAAGAAAAGTTAAATAAATTTTTCATTGCAAAATTTTCATAACTAGTTCTTTAGTAAACAAGTTTAATAGCAAAATTAGAAGAAAATAAATCATCGTTACATTTTTTTAGCGATTACACCATTTTTTTTTTTAAACTGTCATTGTTTTGTAATAGAACTGAGTAAATTTTACAAATATTTTAGATTCCATATTTTGACTATGAATAAAATTTATATCTTTGTACGATGGAGAATATACAATTATTAAGGAAGGTTCATTTATTTTATTTTGGAGGCATGTTGTTCTTGAAACGTTTGAAAAGGTGATGTTATCTAGTCTAGACAAAATTCCGATAATTTCTCATTTTATACGACTAAGTATTCTTATACATATGTTTCTAATAATCAAGTGATTTTTTTCAATCAAATATGCACATGTTTAACTGTAATTGGCAAATGCAAATAAAGAGAGTAATTATTGACCACCCAACGAAATAAACTAAAAAGAGTAACAAAAATCACTGAGGAAAAACAAAAAAGCACAGGTCATATTCTTAAAGCTATCGCTTTTACGGAAAACGACAATTTTTTGTTTTGTTTATTTAAAACATCGTTATTGATAATTAATAATCAGATACGTAAATTAATGATGCTTTAAAGCGAAAAACCCAATAATTAAATTAGATTTAACGGTCCAGATGCTATCTTCCTAAGACCATCCATAGTCAAAAGTTTGCCATTAGTGGGTCCGCTTTTTAAAAGTAATGTTTACAGTAATTGGGCCGTAAGCTTTGGGCCCATGTGTTCGATAATTAAATAGTGAATTATTATTATGTTTTTTTTTGTGCCTTTTTGCGTTAGCAATGCATCGTATTAATTTAATTTGGTCGATACATAAAGGAAAATATATAGTGTGATTCCGACAAAAATTAGAAATATACAGTATGGTTTTTACTGTGACAAAAAAAAAACATAGTGTGATTTTTATTTTGCTAAGTGAAATTTTTTTATTTGGAAGAGCTATACATATACACATAAAATCAAGGCATATAATAAAATTCCTCTCTCAAATATAATCAGAAAAAGACGATAAATTTGAAAAGCTACATGAAAGTGAAAAAAGGAAAAAAAATTGCAAATGATTGATAATTATTAAAAAAAAAGTAATGATTTTGGTGGAAAAATTCGAGAGTTTTGGTCAATTATCGGTTTTGACTGGAAAAATGTAATGAAATTACATTGGTGGCCTCGATTTTTAATGGACTGTTCGTTCCGCTGCGAAGAAATGACCAAATCACCCTTCGATTCGAGAACCAGAGATTGTCGGTTCAGGGATATATACGAAATGACGTAAACACCCTCTAACTCGTTCGCATTAATGCAGCCGTCTGAAGAGAGTAGACTAGGGACATGATCGTAATTGTAAGTGTGAATAGAGACAGTAGTAGAGTCCAACTAACGAGGTTTCTTTGCCCAGTTGCTACAGTTCATCTCACTCATCTATAATCTATAATCATTTATGCATTCTCATTACAGTAGAAATATTTAAATATATACACATTTTTATTAAATACTAGTAGTGTCCAATTTACAATATTTTTTTTTAAAACATAGACAGCTACATAAATATGGATTTCTTTTGTAATAATCTTCTTTTTTAGACTTGGATAGGGAGATAATAGCTAACTTTCTTTGCATTATCTAATCTTTATAAAGCTCAAACCAAAATGGGGAAATTATTGAGCCAAAATTATTTACAAATCTGATTTGGTAAGCACGTGTGAAGGAAACTTTATGTAAGAAACTTAGTGGGTTTGACGACGACTTGAAAATTGTGGGAAGTAGGTGCTTAAGTAGATTCGTTTCTTGATTTTATACTTAACTTTTGCTCTTCTCAAGTATTTTTAACCCCATTGCCTTGAAAACTGAAAATTTTAAGTACATACTTAGAAAAATACATTTAGATGAGGTATAAAGAGAAAAACATTGGGTTAAGAGGAAGTAAGAGAAGAATCCAAAGCTCAAAGATAATTTTATCCAACCATGGAAGCACGTTGCATCCATTACCAAGCTT